GACTTTCCCACTCGGCGAGCAGAGTTTTGACGCTAATTACGGAGATAAAAGAAATCAAAAGACATGCATGCTATGTATAGCTGTTTCGATAACCCTTACCCTTTACCCTACAACTATAATCCTGGTGGACACGTTATTACTCGTGACGTAAATATAGTTGATAATGAGGGCCTTAGATAATTAATTAATCAAAATTTATTTTAACTGGTATCATGATTACATTATCATAATTGATTCTGTGAAAGATTTCACACCAGGCGATAGGAAAACACAAAAAAGACATTGACACTTTGATAGAATGGATTGAATGTATCACATGTATGTCAAAATCTCGCAAGAGGTGATTGAGGGGCAAATTGAAAACAAACCTTCTATCCTTCTGTGTTCAGTAATTCAAAAATAAAAAAGAATCAGATAGATTACAGTATATTCTGATCCCTATTGACAAAACATGTAACAGCATTGTCGTTGTTTGTAATTAAGTTTCATTATATAAATTGTATTTTATGCCCATCTTCCTGATACTCGCACTAAAGGTTGCTCTGTTTGATGTAATATTATACTATCTGATACCAACACAACACCGTTTGAAGTTGAAAAAGGGTCATTTATTACCAAATGACAATTTTGTAAAACTATTACAAAAATGAAAATGTAGTTTGATAGATTTACATTTATAAACCTTGCAGTGATACCAATATCACTACATGCAACTTCGAAATAGATCAAAACATTACTGTATAAAATTTTTACATCAAAGGTGGGGTAAGGTAAAAATGCCTTACCTACTGAAAAAAGAAATATGGAAAAATATTGTCAAATTATTCACATCAATTAAGAACACTATAATTTTTTAACTATTAGGGAGAGGTGGGAGGGTTGTTCAAAAATAAAATTGTATTTCCATACAAATATGGCGCTGCCACTGATTGTACTCAATCATATACTGAGGCTGTTCCAAAAACAAGACCGAACAAAAGTATTAGAGTTATCTCGCTTGTCCCACTTTCAATACACAAGAAATGGGCATAAAATTATTTATGAACATAAATAGCATTTATGCCCATCTTCCTGATACTCGCACTAAAGGTTGCTCTGTTTGATGTAATATTATACTATCTGATACCAACACAACACCGTTTGAAGTTGAAAAAGGGTCATTTATTACCAAATGACAATTTTGTAAAACTATTACAAAAATGAAAATGTAGTTTGATAGATTTACATTTATAAACCTTGCAGTGATACCAATATCACTACATGCAACTTCGAAATAGATCAAAACATTACTGTATAAAATTTTTACATCAAAGGTGGGGTAAGGTAAAAATGCCACTTACTGCCAATGACAGGCAGATCTGAACTGTCATCAGCAGTAATCCCCACCCAACCCTAGTGCGAGTCTTAATCTTACTACAATAGAAGTATCCCTAAAATTCATACAAACCGGATACAAACAATGAAAAATAACACATTACCAACATACAAAGAAAGTATTTCAACTCTTGTAAACAATACCATATTATTATGCATTGTACACACACTTTGTTAGATGCATAATTACGTCAAAACTTTACTACTTCTTGATACAACCAGATGCTCCTGTCATCATGGTTGAAAATGTTTTTCTAAGCCAATGTCCTCTTTCCTGAAACAGATAATGTGTCACACTTGTAGATGCATAATTACATCAAAACTTTACTACTTGATACAACCAGATGCTCCTGTCATCATGGTTGAAACTGTTTTTCTAAGTCAATGTCCTCTTTCCTGAAACAGATAATGTGTCACACTTGTTCACATATTTTGACAATTGTCCAAACCTTCATATTCTCTATTACTGGTTTGATATTTATTTTACAATCAGATGCTTTTGTCACCATGATTGGGTATAATTTGTGACACCAGTAATTAACACACTTGATTGACATCAACCAAATAAATTACTCACTATTTTATAGGAACTCAACTCAAAGTAGATTTGAAATGTCATGAATTATAATCTGACCAGATGCTCTTGTCACCATGATTGGGTATAATTTTGTGACACCAGTAATTAAAACACTTGATTGCAATCAACCAAACAAGTTAACAAATTACTCACTATTTTATAGGAACTTAACTCAAAGTAGATTTGAAATGTCATGAAATATAATCTGACCAGATGCTCTTGTCACCATGATTGGGTATAATTTTGTGACACTAGTAATTAAAACACTTGATTGCAATCAACCAAACAAGTTAACAAATTACTCACTATTTTATAGGAACTCAACTCAGAGTAGATTTGAAATGTCATGAATTATAATCTGACCAGATGCTCTTGTCACCATGGTCATAACTCATTACCTCAACCTCAACTCAAAGTAGATTTGAAATGTCATGAAATATAATCTGACCAGATGCTCTTGTCACCATGATTGGGTATAATTTTGTGACACCAGTAATTAAAACACTTGATTGCAATCAACCAAACAAGTTAACAAATTACTCACTATTTTATAGGAACTCAACTCAGAGTAGATTTGAAATGTCATGAATTATAATCTGACCAGATGCTCTTGTCACCATGGTCATAACTCTTTACCTCAACCTCACCTCGTGAGCAGTCAAAGGTTTACAAAGGGGATTCGAATGTACTTTTTGAAAGCGTCTAATGACCACCGCCCCATTGATTGAATTTTTTGCTCTAGAACTCCACTGGAAAAAGCCGTTGTTGCTGCTCTGATTCTAAAGCTGTGACCTTTATATCATTTACAATCTAACCCACACCAATTTAATGGCAAACATAACTGATCTGTACAATATTTCCGTGACACCGGTGACCCATCCATGAAAGTAAAAAGAGGACCAGAAGTTGGTTTTCGTAATTGAAAATATGTCCATAGGGCCTGAACAGGACATATTGTGTTATCTTTGCTGTCATTTTTCACATGCACAGTGTAAGATTGACCTTTACCATGTTTGAAAGTTTTCATAGTCAACTCCAACCCTACTGGGCAGTCTGAAGTATTTTCTAAAAAATGTACAGATTGTATTGTCAATAAATGACAATTTCTGTCTTTTGAAGCTGTAAATTACAATCCTAAGAAAACAGTGAAATGCCACTAAATACACACTTTTCATAAGTACCTGTACAAAATATAAACTTGTTGTATATTGTAAAGAAGCTATCAGCTGTTTAAGAATGATTGGTGTTATAGGTAACCTAGGGTCCACTAAGCTTGTCTTATTCTTGTAACCTTGTAAACATTTTTTCACTAAAAGTTGGGCCTTTCATATTCCTTATCTTATGATGAATACTTAATGCTGAAACATAGGTTGCCAGTAACAATAAGCTATAAACAAAATGATATCTTAAGCTTCTGCTTTTGCTGGTACACCTTTCCTTGGCAAAGCAAAATGATGACACCAAACAATGGCAATATTCAATTGCCCTTTGATAAGTATTATGAGTTGATGCTGCTAATGACTGATTTATTAGATCTGAAGCTATTGATTCTAAACTTTGAGATTGTCCTCGTTGTTATGGCATGCTACAGGGTTGTTGTAGGAAATTTTTTGTAGGGACTGTGGAATCTGCTGGCGAGAAAGATGATCAGCTAAAACATTATCTAAACCCGATACATGTCTTCCTTGAAATAAAATATTGTGTTTAAAATATTGCACTACTAAACGACAAACAAGAACTATTTGTCTTTACTTTAGGTTTGTTTGTTGATGATGTGCACAACAGCATCATTATCCGTGAAAAAAATTTTTAATAATAACACATCAATTTTCAAACTGATCTGCCCAAAGCTGAACTGCAAGTACACTGGGAAATAACTCCTTTTATTGTAATATGATAGGTTTTCCAGGTTTTAGGCCATATACCACTAAAATACTGATTTCGTAAATAGCCACAGAAACCAATGTTACTTGTATCCATATACAATTGTAATGAGTCAGAATTGTCCCATTGCTCTGATGAAAACAGTGACTTGCCATTGAAATGCTCCAAAAACAATCCCCAAGCATTTAAATCCGCTCGAGCTTCCTTATTCAATCTCCTATGATGAAAAGGTTGAGTTAACTCAATTAACAGATCAATTAGCCGCCTAGGAAATGGGCGTCCTGGAATGACCACTGAACAGGCGAAGTTTAACAGACCTATTACAGACTGTAACTCTAGTAATGTTATAGATTTTTTAGACTTGTGAATTTGTATTAGGTGTCTAGCTTTAGTTAACTTGTCTTGTGCTAAACATGACTCCATCAAAATAGAATCCAACTCAATACCCAAACATATAAGCGAAGCACAGGGAAGGACAGTTTTTAACTCCTTAATTGGAATACCAATATCCTTGAACAAAAACATGAACTAGTCTCCCATGTAAGCCTAACTTGTTTTCACATACCCAATGTACTGCAGTACTGAATTCTTCAAATAACTGACAAGAAAAATTAAGTCACATAGGGAGAGTTTTGTCAAAATAGTATTCATTTTCTAAAGTAAAACCCAACAATTCCCAATCTGAACAATGTATTGGAACAATTTTATATGCATTCTGAATATCCAATTTAAACAACCCGCATTTTTTCTCATATATGCGCATTCAACCTACTGCATCTTCTACCTCCTGATATTGAACAGATTTGAATTGATTATGAATACCAGAAACCCAGAATTTAGACCTACTTTGGATTTACCCAAACTGATAGCCAATGCCTCACTATGGATTTCTGAATTTAATGTTTGCTTTTTGGGCTTTATTTCACACTCCCCTTCTAAGATTTCACTGATTTCAAAGCCTTTATAATTATTCTTATTTTTGATTCCTAACAAATTTCCAAATCAACAAATTCATTTCCCCAGATTTTGCTTTTTATCTTAGAATCTACACCGAGACCCAATGGCTTAATGATACTGGAATTCTTAACCCCTGCGCTAAACGATAACTCCTTAGATGCTGTTTGTTAATTAGTACCTAAATTACTTGGTAAAATTGCCATCTTCTAATTGGCTTGAATGATTGTTGCTTGTTGGAGTGTCACTTGCGACTTCCTCTTGTTGTAAATTAACTGGTTTTGTAACCACCCCATAGTCTGTAGGCCTATTACCGGTACTCATCTCTGTAAATGGATGTTAGCATGTATGCCTAATTTATACAAATCATGTCAAGAATTCAACCTATCTATGACTGATAAAATTATCAGCTTTTGATTAATGTGGCAAAATTATTGTTGATTTACTCATCCAAATATTAGTCCATATCAGGCAATAGGATAAAATTACCCATTAGACCTGACTCTAGGGTAGTTCTTTATACCAATTATTGTTTAAATCTTAAAACAATCTGTATAATTACAGTGCACTAGTGAAATATAGCTACACAATGTATCAAGAAACCATTGCAATATCACTAATTAATTCACTATCCCTAGTGAAGCATAGCGATAGAATTATCGCATTTATAACTTGATAGAATTATCAAGATTCAGCACTGATCAAGACGTGATAAAATTATCACTAATTGTAAAGCATAGCGATAGAATTATCGCATTTGTAACTTGATAGAATTATCAAGATTCAGCACTATTGAAGACGTGATAAAATTATCACTAATTGCGATAGAGTTATCGCATTTATAACTTGATAGAATTATCAAGATTCAGCACTGATCAAGACGTGATAAAATTATCACTAATTGTAAAGCATAGCGATAGAATTATCGCATTTGTAACTTGATAGAATTATCAAGATTCAGCACTATTGAAGACGTGATAAAATTATCACTAATTGCAATAGAATTATCGCATTTATAACTTGATAGAATTATCAAGATTCAGCACTGATCAAGACGTGATAAAATTATCACTTATTTTAAAGCATAGCGATAGAATTATCGCATTTGTAACTTGATAAAATTATCAAGATTCAGTAATACATTAAAATACCACTAATTGTTCAGTAATGTGGCAAAATTACCACTCATACTTGAACATGTGGCAAATTATCACAGGCTCTTCTGCAACTCATGCAGTAGAAAAAGTTTCCAGACTTACTGTTCTAAGTAAAAATAAATGCTTGATCACAAGGGTCCCTTTCTGTATTTCCCACTCTTGGACTGGCTCTCTACAATGCATCTAATATGTGATTAAACAGAAAACTGCTGAAAGTATAACATTGTGTCATATATGCATAATAAGCTTTTTTTTTTTTTAAATCATTAATACCCGTTTTGTAAGATGTTCTAAGTCACTAGGGTACTAAGGCTAAGGTACATATAGATGTATTGCCTGTTTCATAAACTTAAGATGCAAATTAACCATAATTGTTATATGGCTAAATGACATACAAACTATTTATCTAGCTATCACTTGTACTATGTATCACAGCACCCCTGATTGCCCTAATCACAAAAGTTATTCACTACAGAGTTCTTAAAGCCCTTTAACTTCCAGTACACAACCTGCCTTCTGTTTTTAACTTCTTCTTTTAAAAGTTGATTTGCATTTGCCAAGACTATTTACTTATTATATAACGTTAAAACAACTCGGCAGTGTCTGGTGGAATATCTTGGTAACGACTGACACACATATATCTTATTTAAATGATACCGGTTTAAAAACAAGTCACATGTTGCCATTATTTTTGACACAATCTCCCTAACCGAATCCTCATCAGCCTGCGGCTGATCGATATCGTTTCCCGCAATATGTAAAGTTAGCTTCTGTTGTCGGTTCCTTTGAATCTCCTCTTCTAGCACTCTAATGTCCATACTTCGACCTATTCTGTCCCCAATAACCCCAATGACCGAGATCGCTACATTTTGTACATTAAATATAATTGTTTCAAAGTTGTCTCTGATTCCTCGCATAATGATATAAGCGTCGAATGTGTGAGTCACCAAATATTAATACAGACATCTTGATGAAGGAAGAACACAGTACAAAACAATGATCGTTGGGACAACACAGGTTACGAATGATGAAAAATCGGAACGCACGTAGGCCTTCCACGTGTGCCAGGACCGAATTTCAAGTCTCGTCTTTTAACACTTACAAATGTGCTGAATTCCTTGGAAATCCAAAAGATCACACCACGAGAAGTCCATCAAATGTATTAACTGTGCACTGGACACGCTGTAAGCCAACTTGCTTGTTCAAAAATAAAATTGTATTTCCATACAAATATGGCGCTGCCACTGATTGTACTCAATCATATACTGAGGCTGTTCCAAAAACAAGACCGAACAAAAGTATTAGAGTTATCTCGCTTGTCCCACTTTCAATACACAAGAAATGGGCATAAAATTATTTATGAACATAAATAGCATTTAAGGAACTGGGATTTAATTCCACTAGTTGTAATCCAACTTATACTCACAACTCTCTTTCTAAGGAGGAAATTCTTGAAATTCATTGTCAGTATAAGTATCTCTAAAATTCCAAACAACCAACATGAATTTGAATTACCATATCTATATTGGATTCGTAAACTTCATATGAATCCTTACAATCAAAGATACATAGCGTATTCCAGTAAATATTCTGAAAGCCTTTTTCTTTATTAACTAAAGAGTGGTAAAAGAAAAATTTATATCTTCGAAGAAACTATTGAAAATTTATAAATCATAAGATTTACCGGAATCAAAAGCTTAAAACTTTTCAACTTTTCAATTTTATAAGAACCATTCCCCACAATAAATTAAAGTCCAGGCTTTCTGATTTCATCGATAGCTGCATTTTCAATTGTAACTCGAAAATTCACTTACCTTGTCAATCGACATTTTTAAAATTATTTGGTTAAAAAACGTTCTGATAGCACACACAAGTTGATATTGAAAAGATGCTTAGGTTTCTGATTGGCAGTATCTATATTGTTTTTAGAGACCAGGCTCCAGGATCATGAAGCATCTTAAGCTTAAGTCAAAAAATGCCTTAGATCCTGAAATTTTTTGGAGGTCAAGCAGCCCAAAATGAAAATTCTTTCTGATTTTGTATCATCAGTCTGCTGTTGTAAGCAATTTATGAGTTTCAGTTAAAAAGTTATAAAAAATATATATATAACTGAAATTTTGACTAAGTCTAAGTCTGTTTCATGATCCCGGGGCCAGGGCTGGGGGCCAAAAAACTTAAACGAGCTCACTTTTGATTTCAGTCTCACTTTAATCAAAGGAATATGTAGTGAAAAAGTGAGACTGAGATCAAAAGTGAGCTCGTCTAAGTTTTATGCCCCCCCCCCCCCCCCCCAGGCTAGGTATTCAAACAATCTATTATACTTCCCATGGATACCAATTGTGCTCTGTTTTTTGCCTACCTATTTGTATTCATATGAAGAATGTGTCCAAAAATCTGATAAGTGAAAAGAAGAAATCCAGGACCCTGTTGTATCAACGGCTCATTAAATTTAAGGAATCTTTAAGCATAGTGAACAGTTAAATTCTGAAAGATGCATTAGTTAATGAAGGGATTAAAGTGTGTTGTACAAAACCTTCATCAGAGTGTTATTATTTAATGAATTATTAAATGTTTAAGAATTCATCAAAATCTATTAAAATTATGAAAATATCCCGTAATGCATTGCGTTACCACTTCCGTGGGCGTTTCCTTTGTTTACTAAATATTTTACTTGAAAAAGACACTAATGGTAATCTAACAACCAAGCCATATGATAAACGTGATGACTTTAACTTTTCTATCGTCAACTTCCATTACTTATGCAGCAATATACCTTCATCACCTGCATACGGATTATATATATCTCAGTTGATTCGATACGCAAGAGCATGCTCTACGTATGAACAATTTCTTAAACGAAGTAAATTTTTGACAAGCAAGTTGATGAAACAAGAATATCAACAGTCTCGTTTAAAGTCATCATTTCGTAAATTCTATGGTCGATACGATGACCTTGTCAGCAAATACAATTTATCATTGAATGAAATGCTGACTGACGTTTTTCATACCGATTGTTAGTCCATTGTTTATACACTGAGTTGACCACGGATTTTTCCGTTGTTTCCTGATTATGACAATAAGCACATGGCAGGTGTGACCGGTCGGCAGGGGATGCTCACTCCTCCATGGCACCTGATCCCACCTCTGATGTTTCGGAGGTCCGTATTTGATCTGCTCTTATTTTGTATATTTGTTTAATGGACGTTGAAAATGAAAACTGTTCGTTATTTCCATATCCTTCTTATAATTAAAACAGTTTAAAAATCCGCCAAAATAGAACTCATTTTAATAATGACGCAAAAATTAAAAAAATTACGTCATTTAAGCAATGACGAGCGTCTAGAAGGATCAATTTTGAAAAACGTCATTTCATCAAAAATCAAAAACTCTGCTGCAAAGTGACTGATGGATTTCAATTTAAAAAACAATAGAAATCGGCTTAGAGAAATGTTGACATCATTAATAGCAAACTCACAAACAGTGTTACCAACGAGAAAAAAATGGGACAACATAACTGCGCAGATTAATGCCTTAGGGGTTTCCAGTCACTCAACTAAAGAAATCAAAAACCAAATGGACGAATATGCACCAGATGGCAAAAAAGGAATTTAGCAACAACAAACATTCACAGAGCGAACGGGAGGAGGACCCTGCGTAAATCTGTATCGACGGTCAGTGAAAAAATTATCGACATCTATAACGATTCTCAAACCCTTACCCCCGAATCATGGGTTTTCGTGGCATTACGGTAAATTTGTAATAAAGTGCTTCAGGACTGAATAATTGAGATTTTTTTTATCACATATACAAACAATAATTCTCCTTATTTTAGAATTATTTTAACTTGCATATCATTTGTTATTTGTTCAGAAGTTCATTGAATTCTTGCATTGTTGCTCTTCCGATTCTTTTGCTGACAGTCATATGTTTTCATGGTATTTATAAAACAAGGAAACTATGGAAATCTAGTCGGGAAAATTCTTATAAATATTACAGTGTCAAAACTACTAGTTAATTGAAAAAAAAATGATTACATTGTTTGATATGAAAATTTATTCGTTGTTAATAAAGACCACATCTATCTAGACGTGCCTAAGCTGTATTAATAAATAATGTAAAAAAAATTCTCTTTTTCAAGAATGGCCTAGAAGTAATTTTGTAAAGCTTTATTTGAATGTTCCATGTTTTAAAATATAAATTCCATGTACAGTGTATATTCAAAGAAAGCAAATGTTTGATTCAATTAATTATCAATGACACAATATTTTTTTTATCATATAACTTTTTAACACCCCGATATTTTCTTTTGTAAATTATATAAAAAATGACGTTACTAGATCACAGTAGAAAAAAATATCAAAAGTGGGAAATTCCAAATTATTGTCACATTACCGGTAGCTGTATGGATAGTTAACTTTAACAGACGATGATATACAGGATCGCCGGCTATTAGTTTGTAAGTTTTGTATTCTAGTTCAAAACACGACAAATAAGCGTATATTACGAAAATTGTCAAAATTGCGAACTATTGACAGTAGTGAAGGAAAAACTTCAAGAGTACTGTACAACTATATATTCAAGAAGTGGTGTAAATCAGATGTGGATACTTAAAATTTCTAAAGAACTTTTGGACAATTTGAAATCACAAGACTTTACAAAAATCAACAGCATAAAAACTTACGACTTTTCAACTTTATACACAACAATTCCGCACGACAAATAAAAATCCAGGCTTTTTGATATCATTGACAGCTGCTTCTTCAACAAAAATGGAACTCGTAAATTTGCTTACCTCGTCATTGGTCATTTGAAAAATTATTTTGTTAAAACAGATTCTGATTGCATACATAAGTACTCTGAAGTTGACATCAAGAAGCTGCTTGAGTTTCTAATTGACAATATCTATGTGGTTTTTGGAGACCAGGTATTCTAACAATCTATTGGAATTCCCATGGGTACAAATTGCGCTCCGTTATAAGCAGACTTATTTTTATATTCATATGAAGCAGAATTTATGCAAAATCTTTTGCGTGAAAAGAAAAAAACACTTGCTGTGGCCTTCAACTCGACATTTAGATATATCGACGACGTATTATCAATTAATAATGATAATTTCCATTCCTACGTCGACACAATATATCCTGGTGAGCTTGAGATAAAAGATACCATAGAGTCCGACACTCTGCTTCATACTTGGATATTTTACTTGAAAGAGACACAAATTGTAATCTAACAACCAAGCTATATGATAAACGTGATGACTTTAACTTTTCTATCGTCAACTTCCCTTACTTATGCAGCAATATACCTTCATCACCTGCATACGGAGTATTTATATCTCAGTTGATTCGATATGCAAGAGCATGCTCTACGTACGAACAATTTCTTAAACGAGGTAAATTATTGACAAGCAAGTTGATGAAACATGAATATCAACAGTCTCGTTTAAAGTCATCATTTCGAAAATTCTATGGTCGATACGATGACCTTGTCAGCAAATACAATTTATCATTGAGTCAAATGCTGACTGACGTTTTTCATACCAATTGTTAGTCCATTATTCATACACTGAATTGACCACGGATTTTTTCCGTTATATCCTGATTATGACAACAAGCACACGGCGGGTGTGACCGGTCGGCAGGGGATGCTCACTCCTCCATGGCACCTGATCCCATGTCTGATGTTTCGGAGGTCCGTATTTGCTCTGCTCTTATTTTGTATATTTGTTTAATGGACGTTGAGATTGAATACTGTTCGTTATTTCCATATCCTTCTCCATGCATAAATCACTCGCTATATTTTATTTTGGCAAAAGCAGAAAGGTTTGACATTCGGTCATAAAACATGCACAAGGTTCCCATTATTGATATCAAATATGACGTCATTACGATCTCGCATTGTGCGATTATTCCTAAAACGAAAACGCCCACGGAAGTTCCTATGAAGAGTCCAACAAAGGCGGTGATGCTGGAAAGAAGGTCAACCACAATAGCTCTCTTCACGGTGAAGCCAGCGGCATGGCAAAATCCCCTACATATAACAAAGAACACCGTGAAGTCGGGACAAAGAAAATGGCAATATCACCAACATATAACATTGTGAAGTTATGGCAAAATCAACTGCATATAACAATAAACAGCGTGAAGTCATGGCAAGCAAGGTGGCGAAACTTTAAATAGGGTTGTTGAAATCCTATAACCTCAACTTATCAGTAGGTACCATGCATCACTTTTAAAATGAACGTACTCGGAGTTTGATCTTGAGTAGTGAGTAAGTTGAGAGACATTAACTCCATAAACTAGGGAGAGTTGAATACAACTACACTGTACATAAAAATGAAAAACTGATGAAGGAAAAGTTGAATCGTCTA